TTACAATTTGTTTTCTCAAAAATCAATGAAAATTGATTTAATTTTAAGTCCTTTTTCTAAAATCTTTAAATTTGAAGCTTTCTCCTATTAAAATAATGCATGTCTTTCTTCATTTAAATAAAAAAAGAAAAATTAATATTTTCTTTGATTCCTGAGAAAATAAGTTTTAAAATTTTATTTAAACTACTCTGTATAATAAAACAAAAATAGATAATCATTCTTTTTTATTACATAATTATAACTAAAAACTACATGAAATAATGAATAATTATTTATCAGTAGTGAAGAATAATATAATCTAATAAAAAAAGATAATATTTTAAGAATATACATATATATTCATATCATGAAATTCTAATGCTATGTATATTTTTTTTATAATTTCTGATTAATTATATTTTGATAAATTAATTACAATTTGAGTAATTTTCATTAATATAATATTTAAATATGTATTTTTAATTAAATTTTAACTAAATTTAAAAAATAATTGAATTATTTACTTTCATCTAGATATCTTTAAGTGCGTTAAAATAATAGAATTGAGTTTTATGGAGTTCATATGTTTAATGATTAAAATTTTTTTTATTAAAATATAACAAAAAGTACTTGTTTTATGTTTATAAAATTTTATAAATAAATGATTATAAAAAGCGAAATGCTAAATATTCATAATAATCCTTTGGAAAACATACATATACAGAATCATGTAATGTACTTGTATATGCATCTAATACGTTAATGTAATTCTGTTTCTATGATATTATGCAATTTTTATAAATCAATAATAAATTTGTAAAAATAAAATATTATTAAAATAGAATCATTTAAATGATTATAAAATATTTTTCTTTTAATCTTATTATTAACATACGTATGTTTGATAAAAAAGAAATAGAAATTAAAAAAATTTATTATTTTAAATAGTTTTATTAAAATTTTTAATTTAAAATTAAAATTAATATCTTCTCATAAGGAAATGAGACATGTAAAACTGATACAATATTGCGAAGATATTCATTATTATTAAATGAAACGATAAAAAAAGATAAAGATGAAAAAATGATTAAAAAATGTATTTTATTAAAAATGATATGCGTCATGATTGTGTGAGTGATATTAAGAAAAAAGATTTTTTGAAAGTAATTTTACGAAACATTAAATTTAAAACATGCAACCATTATTTTCTATAATTATAATAATATTGCAAACATATATTCAAAATATTTCTTTAAATTGTATTTCTCTGATAGACTATGTATAATTGATAAACAATTTTTTTTTTAATAGAAATAGATGTACAAATATTCATTGTATCAATTGTTAAAAAATTAGAAATAATGTAATCTTTTTTCTCTTATTTTAAATAATTTTATATATTTTTTGTAGCGCGTTTCTTTTTTTTTGTTATGTTTTCGATATTCGACCATGCATTCGTTTTTCTTTTTCTTCTAATTTAGTATTAAGATAATTTTAAAAATTAACGATATATATTTTTAAAAAAGTATATACCTACAAAAAAAAATGGCTATAATTTTGATCTCATAATGTAATGACAATGCACGCAAATGCCCTTTTCTTCTTATGCATTCATATTAAAGAGAAAAAAAAATAGAAAAGAAAAAAATTTTTAACATTCTTCGTCATCTTTCGATTTTCAATTATTTAAATCATTTCAGTTTAAAATAATCCGTATAGATATCCGTATTATTAAAATTCGTCTAGTCTGTATGAATGTGCGTAGTTCATTAATAATCAAGTGGAATATTTTTACAATTTATTTAAATGAATTTTACAAAAGATATTTCTTCGAATTTTTCTGTCACTCGCATAAAAGATATTAAAATGAAACTATCTTGCTCAAAAAAGACGAGAATTTAAAACAGAAATTTAATTTTTGCGTAATTTCTATATATGAAAAAAAAAATTTTCTTACGTGTATACAAGTACACGTGTTAAGTACTTATATGGTTGTTTACTTTTTTTTATTCGTATACCTTTTTATAATAATATATTCCGATTACTACGGAAGTAAATTTTTCTATATTTTTATGTCAATAGTTCAATTATTTTTTTTTTTTTTAATAAAAAATACACATCATTTTTATAAAATTTCATATTGCTTTCCCAAATACTGTTGTAGAAAACAAAATTATTTTTTTCAAATGAGTTTTTAAATAGTTTTTCATTATCATGATTTCTAAATTGTTAAAAAAAAAATTTTTTAAAATTTGATTCATTTCACTTTTAATCATTGCTCTTATAATGTTTTACATTCTTGTTATATAATAATGGAATGATTAATAAATGATTAAATAATTTATTGGGAAAGATTTCATTTTATTTTTAATTGCAGCACAGTGAATTACAATTTGAATATTCGTGCATATTTAAAAACTCAAATGTTTCATAATATTTTCATACGTAATAAATATGATATTTTAGTATGCAAAAAAAAGTACTATCAATCTTGTTATATTTTTTGTAAATAATTCTATATTTTCCTTTATGCTACATAAGATTTAAAAAAAAAAAAGGAAAAAAAATAGGTACTTCTTGGTATTGGTACTTAATGACTTTTCATTGTGTACCGACATTTATACGATAGAATATTAAAATAAATATTGTAAAATGACACGTGTATAATTTATATATTATAATTAATATGATTAAATTTTCACGTGTACATATGAAACATCGTTATTTCATAAATTTTCTACCTCACCTGTTGTTTTGTATAAGAAAACAAAAAATAATTAATGTTAGTAAAAATTGTAATTGAACTGTTATTTAAATACTTTCAACGTGATCAAAAATATTGAGACAGAATATTTCCGTAAATGTTATTCTTCTTAATTACAATAGTTGTTTTCGCATTAATAAAAATAAGAAAATTTATAAAATTATTATTCTTTTATTCCATATTATCTCTGCAAAGAAATTATTTAATTTTATAATGTATAAAATTGAATTTTCAACATTTCATGAATAATTGTATTTTTTTTTGTTCTCATTAAATTAAATTAAAATATTTCAATATAAAAATATATTTATAATATATTAATTTATGAATGTTTATAATTATTTTAATCTTATGACTTTTAGTTTCTATTATTTATATTTTATTCTATTGATTTAATTGAAGTATAAATATGTTTTTAAAAAAATCTTCTTTTATTAAAAAGAGATTACTAAATATTTTGATCTAAATGAATTATATGCATTAATAATAAAAAGAAAAAAAAGATCATTATATATATCAAACGCAAAATTGATAACATTGCAATAAGAAAATTAGGTATTTTAAAAATTCTGTCTATTCTTTATTTCTTTATCTAAGTATTTATCTAAGTATTATTAATTATTTATTTATCTAAGTATTTTTTAAAAATACGTAAGTATAAATTAATAAATTATTTTAATGTGAAATAAAATTTTGTTTTTGTTTTTTTCCTAATCATTTATATTAAACTATTTGTCTGAATTTATGAGAAAAAATTCATTAAATTCAAATGCTTTTCCAAATTATTTTAAAAATAATTATGTACGACTTTTTTTTATTTATTGAAACAGAAAATAGAATGTATGAAAACTTATTAATAATTTTAGTAATATAATTTCAATAATAAATAAACATTCTTTTTATAATTTGCAAAATTTTCAAAGACATTGAATTTATGATTTTTAAATTAAAATTTTTATTTAATGAATAAAAATTTTTTTTAATAAATTATATATACAAATGTGCATAATAAATATTTTTATTTTTTTTTTTTACTTCTAATTTGTAATGTGATAACAATATTAATATTTTTATATTTTATTATTTAATTAAAATAAAAAAATATTTTCCAATTTACAATATTTCAAATATATATAAAATATTATAATTATATTATTTGCATTTAATATATATATGTTATTATATGTAAGTAATTTTTATTTCTGTAATAATATTCTGAATGAATATTATTGTCAATAATTTTAATATCATTAATTAAATATATTTAAAAAATATTTA